CAGGCAGACGGATGGACAGACAGACTTAGAAATTGATATACCTGTACCCCGCTTTCAAGGGGAGACAATATATTCTACTGGATATTTTGGTTAATTGAATCCAATATCAACCTACTTGTATGCGCACTAACTGCCTAAATACTTATTACTTGGATCCAGGGAGTTTTAAGGGAAGTTCCATCTAACTCAGGGAAAGAAATCTGTACCAGAGATTATTTTGACAAGACTGCAGACACACAGAACCACCACTAATCCCAAAATAAGTATGAAAAACGTCATTAAGAAATATTAAAATCATCATTTAGAATATTTCTTTCTCGTAGAAAGATAAATGCATAATCAATCCAACAAATGCTTGGAATAAACTTGTGATATATATTTCAGGCAAATATATTTTTTTAGTAATTGATAGAATTAAAGTATTTAATTTTAGAACTTCTGATTTTGTTTGGGATTTTTTTGGGGTTGAACTATGTTCAATCTCCAATGGTCATCACGCATTTAACAGGCACAGTAATTTGTGTTGATTATATAGAGCCGAAAGCGAGGCTACTGTGTCGCCCAATTTACTCCGATGATATTCAACAGAAAACATGCATAAACATCCGCCACAAATAGTTCATGTCATTTTCTTCTGAATTGATCTAAATTTTATAATTTAAAATGTAAGTAAATGTAATGATAAATTAAAGTAATCTTAATTTGAATATTAGATTTTGTTTTAAGTAAAACTCAATTATAAAGAACCTCAAAAGTTTTCGTAATGGAACTCATTTTTAGTGTAGCGTCATCTAAACACACTGAAAGAGATACCAACGACAACTCTACATACTGACGGCAAGCGGTAAATCTAGTATTCCCGACGCCCGATTCCCGATCCCGGATTTTGGGTTTTCTTTTTAACCGATGCACAGAATTTATTCAAACTTTTCATGAACATTTTCTTGGTTTAAATGAATTCATTAATGAATAAAAACTGTGGAAAATATGCGTATATATTACTAAATCAGCAGTAGCACCTGCGGTAAATCTGGTACTCTGTTATAAATGTTAAAACCAAAAAAACGGACACTGGCGTTTTCGTAGAATCGCGATGAAAAACAACAAAATGAAGAATATTTAAAAAAAAAAAAAAAAAAGGAAAACCTCATTTACATACAAGATAATTTGTACGCACACAAACTTTCACATATACCACTGTTTTTATGTTTGGTCATTTTATATTTGTTTTTAACTTGGTATTGCTTTTTAGCCGGGCTTATTGCTCAAAGAGCAATTGCCGGCTTATGTGATCCTGTTCAAGGCAGGATGTTGACCCCATAGTCGCCATTTGAAAGTTACGTGCAAAAATATAGTTCTTACTTTCAACCGCTTTTTAGATAATACAAACGCTAAATAAAGCAACAAAAATAAAACGAAGTTTTATCTATATAAAATAAACATTAGTAGTAATGACTTTGAAAACTTCATAAGTCAAAGAACATAGTTCATAAGCGTAAGGATTTTTGATAATCAGTGTTACCGTAGTTCTTTACACATATGAGGTAAAGCAGGAGAGGGAACCAGACTGGCCTGTTTGTTTACATTCAGCTGCGGTACCAGATTAATTCTGATTCTGACAAAATCGGACCGTGGTATTAGGATTGAAAAACTCACTGTCAGTGTCTTATCATTTATATTGATAGTTTTAAAATAATTTTTTCATCAGAATATAAACGTGATTCATGTAAGAAATCCATTCTACTCTGTAAATTAGCCCGGCTCTCTGTACTTCTGAGTACTTTGATTTAGCTTTTCTGAGACAAAGGCTCAACGAGCTTATGCTATGGCCATTTGTGCGGTGTGCGTTAACTTTACAGAATACGGGCCATAACTCAAGAACCCCTTGGACAATCAGTGTCAAATTTGTCACAGGGTATCCTTGGCCTAAGGGCTACATTTTATTTTAAAATAAGGGTTGGGACCTTTAAACAAGGGGAGATAATCAGGGAAACAAATCCAAAAGTACTGGTTGCTAAAAAATCTTCTCCAGAACCACTAGGCAAATTTTCACCAAACTTAAATATAAGGATCAGGATAGGGCGAAGATTAAAATTTGCACGGGGAATTACCCTGGGGCGAAAGGCGTGGTCTCAAGGTCACTTCAAAGTTGACCTAAATTTACAATTAATACAAACGTTTATATTTTGCTTATCATAAGGACTAAGATCATCAAATCTTGTAAGTTGATGCATCTTAGGACTTCACATCATGTTAACTCAAAAGTAGGTCAAAAGTAGGTCACGGTGACCTACTTTTAAAATTATGCAGGCATTTGTTTTCAAATTGATTTGAAAGCATATTTTGGACACTTTAAGGCCTATGATCATCAAACTTTGTCAGTTGATACATCTTGGGTCTTCGAACAACATTAACTTAAAAACAGGTCACCGTGACCTACTTTTTGAACTTTATGACTAATCCTTTCTGAAACATTTAATCCCATTATTGGAGATACTGAGAGGTTCAGAATCATCAAATTTTGTAAGTTTATGCATCTAGGGACCTTAAATTATATTTATGAAAAAGACACTGTGACCTACTTTTTGAATTTTGTAGGCATTTGTTTTCAAATTGTATAAAAGGCATATTTTGATTACCTTCAGGCCTACGATCACATGGACTTTGAAAAATGTCGACCAAAATGTAGGTCACGATGACCTACTTTCGACATTTTATGGTATTATTTAAGTATCTTAATTAGGTATTTATTGGCTTAGAATCATAAAATTTTGTGAGTCGATACATCTTGGGTTTTCGGAGAGTGACAACCAAAAAGTGGGTCACAGTGACCTACTTTTGACATTTTATGGCTTTAATAAAGTATCTCCAGTACTTATTCGCTTAGAATCATCAAACTTTGTCAGTTGATGCATTTTGGATTTTCGGAAATTGATCGAAATTTAGGTCACGGTGACCTACTTTTGCGGTTTTGTGGTATATTTAAGTATCTCATGCACTTATTGACTTAGAATAATCAAACTTTGTAATCTTGGGTTTTCGGAGAATGTCGATCAAAAAGTAGGTTGCGATGACCTACTTTTGAATATCTCAGGTACTTAATAGCTTAGAATCATCCAATTTTGACGTCAATTTAGGCATCTTGGTTTTTTCGGTGAACATCGACCAAAAAGTAGGTCACGGTGACCTACTTTTGACATTTTATTTCTATAATTAATTCTATCTTGTTTTGATTGGCTTGGAATCATCAAATTTTGTCAGTTGAGTCATCTTAGGGTATCGGAGGATTTCGAACAAGAAGTAGGTCATGGTGACCTAGTTTTGAATATCTCAGGTACTTATTGGCTTAGAATCGTCAAACTTTGTCAGTTTAGGCATCTTGGGTTTTTGGAGAACGTGGACCAAAAAGTACGTAACCGTGACCTACTTTAGACATTTGATGGCTATATTTAATTATATATGGTACTTATTGGCTCGGAATCATCAAACTTGGTCAGTTTAGGCATCTTAGGGTATCAGAGAATGTTGCCCAAGAAGCAGGTCACGGTGACCTACTTTTGAATATCTCAGGTACCTATTGGCTTAGAATCATCAAACTTTGTCAATTAATGTATCTTGAGTCATCAGAAAATTTCAATCAAAAGTTGGGTCACTGTGACCTACTTATGGTATTTTATAATTATATTATAATAATTTCCGTCTGAACTGGTTTAATATTATCAACTTTTGTCAGTTGATGCATTTTGCAATTGGGTCATATGATACTAATAGGGTTAGAAGCTTCTAAGAGAAGTGATAGATTGTACAATTTATCAGACGAGTGATTCAAAGCCCTTGGGCCTCTTGTTCTTCACAATATTAAAAAAATTAAGTTCTGACGTACTCCATGTATAATGTTGACTTCGTGTAATTAACATACATTTATACTCACAGAGAGGTTTTATATAACAAACCTGTTATCTCTTAAAAGGATGTCGTGTGAAAATCCACATTTTATCAACATTGATATTATTCCTGTGAAACTGAAATTTTCGTAACACATGGGTGAAGGTGCCAGGGAAAAATATATTACAAATTTGAAGATGAACTAGAGGTACAGTGAGCAGTGAATGATATAAATGATCAACCGCCTCTAATATGAATATAATGGCAGTGTCCATGTTTGGCAATGGGAAACCCAAAATATGTGTAGGATGAAAAAGTAATGGAAGGTGCACAACGGCAATAAGTAATAAAGATTCTATGAAAATTTCAGTCAGTGATGTAAGAGGAGTTGCAGATAAGAGATGGGTATACCTAAAGTTAACAAACAGATGGACTAACATCCCGATTAATGAATATCCTCCCGCTTTTCAAGCAGGGGGTATAAAAAAGGACTTATGTAGGCAGACAGGCATTATGGCCTATACATTTTTTGCTATTCGGTGTCTCTGAATGTTTTTCTCAAGATTTCTGTATTTGAATATTATTGAAATATTATATTTATTGAAGTAATAATATTGTTCACTACCTTAACTTAACTTAACCGATCAAAGATTTCATTTTACACCATGTTCAACTCCCATGAGTATTTTCAGTACTTGGATTAATATATACATGTAGGAAAATCTTGAAATTTCTATCAAATAAAAAAGAATCTAGGACAAAAACTAGTCGCCCTCGTAGGGCAGGGTTATAGCAATAAGAGTTGATCCTTACGCCGCGTTTTCGAAAGTACTGTTAGACGAGGTAACCGCTCCGTCGGATGAGACCGTGTATATCGAGGTGCCGTGTCGCAATAATTGCCGGTACGAACAAGATGCCTCGAGCTCACTGCTCAACTTACTATCAGAGATTCTAATGCAAGGGTGGGTCATCTTTATAGTGATAAACATTTAGTTTTAATTTCCCTGTTTTTCTGAGGGGGGTTTCAAATATAAATTCGTTTTGCAAGATGACCAGCTATAATTTTTTCCCGGATGTCGGATTGTTGATCAATAATATTTGACATCTGCGGAAAAATTAACTTGATGGCGTTATTTAAACCTTTTCTGGGTTGAATCCAGCAATACGGCAGAGGATATATGAAGGTAAGGTTATTAAAAGCATAATATATCGACTTTGTAAAATAGATATCTTAAGGATCTTGATATAGAAATTTCAAGTAAATGATTTTAAAATTCAATTTATAAAATAACCTAATGATTGTAACAATATATAATTCGAGGGAAAAAATAACGGTTTTCAAAATTAAATGTTTTGTTTTTATTGTAGTCTTCATTGCACGTAAAGTACTTCACGATGATTTTCTATTTGGCATTTGTTTCACTCCTTTGCCTTCCAGTTGCAAATTCATTTGGAAAAGGTTTGTTGTATCTTTTATTATAATTCTTATAACAGACATTTTATATATATTACCTATTTCTTGAAAGATAAATGGAGATGTACTCATTTATTACATAGTTAGTAATAAACACAGGATATGCCTGACGTCACAATAGCCGTATCAGCCCTGAAATTGGTAATCAGCCCTGTAGGGCTAATATGGATCAATTAATATCACACCCCTTGTACATTAAACCACAAAACAGTACTTGTGACCATACACATATTTTTTCGGGGGGTTCATTTTCTCTTAATTTTAACTTTTTGTAAATAACGATCCTTTAATTTACAAATAATAGATTATTTTCAAATTACGGATCAAGCGCATTGTAATAGAAACAACCCCAACCCGTATGAAACATCAGACCATGTACATGTAAGAAGTCAATGCATGATTATTTACTTATTTTCTTCTCAACTTAATGTGTGCTGTATTTTATTACTAAGTATGTACACACATGTAATAAACATAATAATACATACCCTTTTTCCATATCAAATCCTTATAAGCCCGAGACACCAATATCAGTCAGAGGGCTGAAGGTTTCGGGCTGATACAGGATGTGATATTGAAGCTGATATTGGTGTCTCGGGCTGATACAGGATGTTATATGGAAAAGGGTATGTATTATTCTCTATGTATTTATGTTGCCTTCACGAACTAGTTTACGTAATTTAAGTTTAATTCACAAACAGGAATCTATCTCAGAAAAAAGTTAAACAGGATTCGCAAATGGACTTTTACCGCCATATCCAATTGGTCTCTCGTTATATTTGAGGGTCTTTATATAAAGCGACTTGCTTACATGTAGTCATTCTTAAGTGTTATTAATGTAATAAGTCGTAACTCGTATACATGAAGACGGGCGTTAAGCCCAGTAAGAGCACGGGTACCGGTTGCAATTTCACGGTGATTAATTCCTGTAATAATAATGCGGTCAGGTTAACAATTGCGAAGAGTACATCCCGGTGTTGAGGGCGTTGTTGATGGTGATGCATTTTATATAAGAAAATCTATGTGATTATATATTTCTTGACTGCATGTATGACTTGTAGCAAAATTATCAAGGCAGCGAAGTTTTCAACATGGCAGACTTATTCTTTTAAAAATTGATAATTTTTTTTTATCAGTTTTGTATGAATAAAGATTAATTTTGAAGAAACAAAAGTAAATTATCTTATAGTGTCACAGAAAATTACCAACATTTTTGTCATATGGGTGCTCTAACGATGTTTTTAAATATTCTTTTATGGAAGAAACCCCCCAAAACTTCCACCTAGAAATAAATTTGCAATAAATTAAAAAAACAAATGAATCCTAGGATTCTGTTTGACTAAAATTTTCATCTGTTTAGTAAAACAGTTCTCTGATATTTTTTAAAATAATTATTTCAGCATGGAACGATTTTTCTTACACTTCTTTTAAGGGTCATCAACCTCTTTTTTTTTACAGCTTGTTGTGGAAGTCGATCATACAACCCTTCTTTCTATATCTGCTGCAATGGAGTAATAAATTGGAAAGGATCGGGCACTAGTTGCTGTGGAACAAGAGCTTTTAATCCTTCTTTCTATATCTGCTGCAACAGAGTAATAAATTGGAAAGGATCGGGCACGAGTTGCTGTGGAACTAAAGCTTTCAATCCTTCTTTCTATATTTGCTGCAATGGAGTCATAAACTGGAAAGGCTCGGGTACAAGTTGTTGTGGAACTAGAGCTTTCAATCCCTCTTTTGCTCATTGCTGCAATGGAGTTATTTGTTAGAGAAGTGGGTTCATTTCTTAATAAAAAGCATAGGTTAATTCTTTTTTGTTTGTTTTCGCGATTATTTATAAACAAGCACGGTTCTCTTTGGTGTATCGTGGTTCAAATTTTGACAATAGGAAAATTAGAAAACAAGATGTGTTTGTGAAACACTATGCGCCCGGCGGCAACAGAGTTCTAAAAAGCAATTTTTAGCAAATAGTTCACAGTCAAGGTCACACAATCATTGTCCTTGGTGTCATTTGAAAGCACTTAATAAGTGGAGTATACATACCAAATAAAAATCTATATCTCTTGTGGTTCAAAAGTTATGGGGAAAGTTCAAAAAAGCTATTTTTAGCAGATAAGTTACAGTCAAGGTCACAAGGTCATTGACCTTATTGGTATTTGAAAGAACTTAATTTAGTGGAGTAAGCATACCAATTTATGAATTCTCATTTTCCTATGGTTCAAAAGTTATGGCGAAAGTTAGAAAAAAGCTATTTTTAGCGTATAGGTCAGTCAAGGTCATAAACTCATTGACCTTAGTGTCAATTGAAAGTGCTTAATTAGTGGAGCATACAATTATGAAGTCTGTATCTCTCACGATTCAAAAGTTATGACGAAGGTTTAAGTTGACAACAGATAGACACACAGATAAACAGACAATCAGACAGACAGGACAAAAACAATATACACCCCGAATAAATTCGGGCGCATAAAAATAAATTTAGACAAGAGGTCCACGGGTCTTATAGGTCACCTGAGTAACATGTTTCAACTTTCCAACAACTGAATTTTGGTTTAACTATTTAAAATCAAATGCTTTGAAATTCACAATTTTGAAAGAGGCGCCATTGTTTATCATAACTATAGACTTGGCATGCTTACTTTGGTTACTTAATACCCACAGATAGATCAGAGAAACAAAGAGAAAATGTATTTCCACTTGATAACCATCAGTTGTGCAACCCAACCCAGAGGAACCACTGACCCTGGGCCATATATTTTTGGAAATTTTATCATAAATTTCATTTCATCATAAATGGTTGATTAATATCAAAGATAAGATTTCAAAATTTCAAAGTATTACTATATTTTCAGACTTTGTACCCCCCCCCCCCCCCCGTCCTGCAGTAGGGCCCTGAAATTAATCATTTTGGAAGAAGCACCTTTCTTCATAAATATGTTTTTCGATTATTGACATTATACCCAGGAGCAAAGGAAAAGATTTCCAGAGAATTCATGCATTTTCACAATATTATCATTAGAGTCCCAACCTAACATCAGAACCCCTGACCCAGAGGCCATGAAATTCACAAATTTTGAAGAAACATCCTTCCTCATCATAACTATGTACATACCGTATAAGTGGAAATTTTAGCAAGACGCACCTTTAGCGATTTCTACCTAAAAACTGGTATTTATTCTTAGCGAGAAGTAACTTTAGCGATTTTAAAATATTAACTAAAGAAGATATTACAAATAATACGCAATTAATTTTTAGCGATGTCAGCACCCTCGCTAATAATGCCAAAAATAAATCCTCGCTAAAATTTCTACTTATACGGTTGTTCATTAGTTTAATACCCAGGAGCAGAGTAGAAGATTTTTAAAGAATTGATGCATTTTCACTATATGATAAATAGAGCCCCACTGTAAGGGCGAAACGATTACACGTGTAAACGGCGACGTTTCGATTATATGCTCTAAACGTTTACAGATTGAGTAAACGTTTACACGAAGGTCATTATCAAAGTCTATCAGAAATAAAGTTTAACACAAACAAATTGTTTTATTTCATAATTTACAAAAGAAACACCGTCTTTGACCATTTGATAAGCAACAATCTATACCGGAAACATATTGAATAAAAATATCTAAAACCCGATACGGTCTAACATATTTAATTCCGATTTCCAAGTTGCGAATACTAGCGATGTTTTATGACACTTGAAATATAAAACTTGATATATTTTGACTAAATAAATATAATACATTTTCACAAGTCTTTGAAAAGTGTTTCTATAGAGTCAGCAGGTCTTGTTTTACTTTTTTTCGAAATTAAAAGATCCATCTTTACAATTCTTTTTCTACGTCCGGTATGCAGTCTAGTCGAACCCTCAAACGAGGGTATACCCTCAAACGAGGGTTTTCATTCCCTAAATGCAACGCTCGAAAGCAGAAGAACGATAACTCTTCTTATTTAAAAAATAAATATTTTTTTAAAAATCATAAACATACAAAAATGAATTGTCTACACCCTTGTTTTCAATTTTGAAAAAAATATTAAATTGTTTTCGTCTTTATTTACGTCATTTCTGAGGCACAAAAGTTTGTTTACAGGACAGAGGAAATTCGAACATGCACAAAGAAAGTGTCGAAAAATAATAAATAACACGCTAATTACACAGGATTTTTAATACCGGGGAAGGGGATTATATGTAGTTCAACTTTAAACAGGCAATTGTTTGTTTATTCATCCGTTTTATTAAGTTATGAATAAAAAATCTAGTTGTATCAAGCATGGAGGTCAAGGCACAGAATACGCTAACTTTGGGGGAGAAAAAGTCTCGATTTTTACAATAAACTTATACTTTTTCGCAATACAATCTCTTTAAACATCTTTAATCTATCAAATTTGAGTACATACAGAAGTAGTATAAGGGGTCTAGCTAGGACCGCATTCTGATTGGCTGAGAGAAATCACGTGATCAGATTTGATTGGTAGAGGGGATAAATGGGTCAACTGAGTGGAGTGCTAACCCTAACCCCTAGCCCCCTAACCCTAACCCTAACCCTAACCCTAGCCCTAACCCTAACTAGCCCTAACTAACCCTAACCCTAACTAACCCTAACCCTAACCCTAACTAACCCTAACCCCCCTACCCTAACTAACCCTATCCCCCCTTAGCCCTAGCTAACCCTAACCCTAACTAACCCTAACCCCCTTAGCCCTAACCCCCTAGCCCTAACTAACCCTAACCCTAACCCTAACCCCCCTAACTAACCCTAACCTATTCCCCTTAAATTTACATTGGTACGTTGGTACTACGTTTTTGTTTTTATGCTGACTATACAGGTAAAAATGCGCCGTGTGCAAAACATTTCAAGAATGTGATTATGACGTCACGCATTCACAGTCTAGACAGTCCTATAACCGGTTTGAACTGGTTTTAGTGAAAACAAGACAGATTTTGATTTTTATTCAATTTTTATTCACAATGAAAAATACAAAAAATGATTTTAATTTCCACTGTATCGGCATAAGGGACATTTCTGGTAGGAAGTCTCAAAAAGTTTCTTCACACACTTTTCACAACACGGATATTGCCTGCATTGTCCGCATTTCCATTTCCCTTGAGTCTTTTCCTCGTAGCACATCATACATTCTTTCAAGGGTGTGTTCCTAGTCATTTTCATCCATCGGGGAGGCGGTATGTTCTCAATTCCTTTCTCCCGGATGAAATATTTCAGGCACCAGCTACAACCACAAGTCTCCATGGAAGGCTCATCATCTTTAAACCAGTGTGGTAATGGCATTTCACAATGCTCGCAAATCGGATAGACTTTAAAATTCCATCCGGGGCAGGGGTTATACACTGTTAATGATTTACCATTCCTCGTATTCTGATCACAGTAATGACAGATATATTTTTCTACATCAATCCAATATAGAATTCTCCACACAAAACTCATGATGGATATAATGAGCGCAGGGTACTCCTAGCTCCGTTTTATATACCTGGTGTGGGGGCCTTGTGCACCTTTTTTTTACCTAGGCTTTATATACCTGTTTGCATCCTCAAAGTGACGTGTGCAAAAAATATGCTGACTACGCAGGTAAATACTTGGCAGCGAGCCAAGTTTGTTTAGAGCCGTGTGCAAAAAAAAAAATATGCTGACTACACAGGTAAATACCTGGCAGCGAGCCAAGTTTTTGTTTTAGGGCCGTGTGCAAAAACTTACTTGTGCATTATGACGTCATCCACTGTATAAATACGGTTTTCTCCGACTTTCGGGTTCATTTTACCCTCAGAGCCATCACCTGATAGACATGGATTCTACTAGAGAAAAACAGGTACAGGCTCGACGAACATTGAAACGAAAAAGTACCGAGAGAGAAATAGATTTACCACCTAAACCCATTTCGGAGTATTATCACATGAGACTAGCTGAAAAATGGACCTCTCCAAAATTTAAAGCGCATGAAAATAGATATGTCGTTCATTTCGATGAATTTCCAGAAGAAGAAGAAACCACAGCTTTCCTTCTACGATTATTCAAAAATATGTTACAGAACTTCAAATCGAAAATGCAGTGTGATCCTAACGATTACCTCCGCCTGAACATACGTCACCCATCTTTGGATTCAGACATTTCTTATGGGTTTATGCAGTGTAAAAAATTAAACGAAGACGTCATTTTAAAAGAAATACAAAATGTGCAACAATCCAAAAAGGAGTTCAAAATCGGCGACGGCTCCACGGAATTCGATCTGTTACACATCGAGAATCCCCAGGGGAGTGGTGGAGACAGAACCAAACATCTACAACTGGATAAAGAAACTTTCAAGAAAAATAAACAATCCATCGTTCGGATCGACAATCCCCATGATAAATTTTGTTTGGCTAGAGCCATCGTCGTCACTCGATTACACAGTCAGAAACCCGATCATCCAGACCCGGAATGGGAAAAACAATGGCTGCGTATGCGGAAAGGAGATAAGAAATCCTTGGACCAGAAGAACCAAGCCATAGCCCTCATGGAACAGGCTGGATGTGATATCACTCAAGCTTGTGGAAATGCAGAGTGGCCGAAATTACAAGAGGTATTAGCTCCTCAGTATCGTCTGAAAATATTTCAGTTCAAATCTACTTCCACTAAATTCTGTTTAGAGCGCATCTTCAAAGGCTGGGGAGATGGAACTTGTTTGAACATTTTGTTAAACAACCGTCATTGCGATGCCATCATATCCATGGCGGGAGTAACGGGGAACCCCTATTACTGTGATCATTGCGACGTGGGGTACAGGAATGTCACAGACCATCGGTCCAAG